GATCATCTGTCTAAAGCCGCCTTTTATGCTGATGAGGATGGTTCGAAATATTATGTATTATTGTATCTGTGGCTGTGGGCTTCCTAAAAATTTTATATTACAGACTACTGTTGCTTTTATTTATTTTAATCGCCAGATCTAAGTAATTTAGCTTTCCTTCCATTTCAGCAAGAATGACTCATATGTTCATTAGTGCACATCAGTCTCCATAAAAAATCCGCATTATATTTCCATCAAAATTTTAAAATTTATTATATTTTAAGACCTCCGCCAACACCGACCGATTGGAAAATGCTTTCAAAAATCTATTTTTTTTTTTGAATAAGCATAGCTTTTAAAAATATTTTTCCCAAAAATCACCTCGGATTATAGGAGAGTTAAGCCCTCAAGGAGTGTTTAAAAAGTTTAAAGTTTATCAGCGGCATCAAAATAATGATATTTTTGAAAGTATTGTCAAATCGTTCCAGCTCCGAAATGTTTTGGCAGGAGGCATTAAAATATATAAGTCGTATAATTCCGGTGAAAAATCCGTACATTTTTTTGGAGAGGTATTTATGCACACTAGAATGATCCCAAAATGCTTGCGAAAAAGGTAAAGTCGGATTTTTCTATATCGAAAAAAAGAAAGTTTCCCATGCGTTTTGAGAAGAACACTTAGAAAAAGACCAATATAGGAATGAAAGTAAAGGTGAGTACGTACATAGATAAAGAAAAGGATAAAGTCAAATTTAAAAATAAAAACAAAAACAAAGCTGCGTAAAGATAAAGGCACAAATGAAGACCAGGGTAAATTTAAACACTTTACTACATATACAAAAAAGTAAAAACAAAGATAAATATAAAGAAAAAGAAGGGGATACCGATAAAAGTAAAGATGAAGATAGGGGGAAAAAGATTAAATAAAAATAATTATAGAAAAAAGGATATGGATAGAGACATAGAGACTCAATCTGGAACTATTTTGAGATTTTCGGGATTCTCGGGACGTATCGATATAATAATCGATATTTTTATCGATTTTGTTATCGAAATTTTTATCGATTTTTCTGTAGATATTTTCAGAACTTGTAGATATAATAATCGATATTTCTAACGATTTTTATCGATTTTGTAATCGATATTTGAAACGATTTTGTTATCGATATTGTTATTGATATTTTTATCGATTTTGTTATCAATTATATATCGATTTTATTATTGATTATTTATCGATTTTGTTATCGATTATTTATCGATTTTTTAATATATATTTTTATTGATTTTTTATCGATTTTTTTATCGATATTTTTTTCGACATTTTTGTCGATTTTCTTATCAATTTTTTTTTGTCGATTATTTATAGATTTTTTATCGATATTTTGATCGAATTTCTAATCGATTTTACTACCAATAGTAGTATCGGTTTTGCTGTCCAAATTTTTGTCAAAATTGATTTTGTTACCGATATTTTTATCGGTTTTGTTATCGATATTTGGTTGGGTGTTACTATCGATTTTGTTATCGATAAAGATAAAGGACAGGAACAGAAAAACATAAGTGTTATTAGAACGAACAGGGGTAGAGTTAGGGATCTAGATCAGTGGAACACAGCGCTGGCAGAGCTTCCAATACAAGCGCAAAATTTTTGTCTCAGTATGTGTGTACTCAAAAAAACAACTTGCGCATGAGCTGCTTACTGCATGACTGCACGACTTGTACTTGAAAGCCGAGTGGCTCCATTTGGCTCACGTGTGCACCAGTGTTCGGACTTCTACCACATTGTGGTAGATCTGCCACTTTTTTGAGCATCTACCACATCTACCACACAAGGTCTGAAATCTACCACATATTCGCGTTTTTGAGTAGCTTTATTTTTCTCGACAAAATTTTTTTAATTTTAAGAGCAAAAATTGTCCAACACTGAACACTAACAACAGGCAAAATGGGAGGATTAAATAAACCGTAAAATAATAAATTTTCTCAATATTCAACATTTCGACAGGAAACATGATTTTATTGTGTTGAATTGCAAAATATATGATTTATAAAAAGGAATTAATAGCCAAAATGTTAAAAAAACGGCGATTTTTGTGCATCTAAAGTTTTTAAAGCGTAGTTTACTTTTACTTGAGAATTGTCGAAATCGGCAAATCCTAAGTAGTGGTTTCTGGAACGTGCCACAATTGTCCGCACACTGTGATGTGATAAAAAGAAAAGCTGGCAGCACTACGCAAGGTTGCAGAAATCTTTCAAAATATGTTCGAAAATTATCTTGACATGGAAGGAAAAAATTGCCAAAACTCAACGGCATTTTTAGCAACTTCAATCTTGCACTTTATTATTTTAATATAAATTTTTTTAGATTATAATTAAAATGTTTGCAATTTAGGTGAAACACTCGGCCCAGTCGAATGTAAAAAAAAAGGTAGGCGCGCCTGGGCCACACAGGAGAAGTGAAACTTGCGTTACATACATATCTAATTTGTCTCATAACCAATATACATACATACATAAGGTTATATTTTTTGTCTTTTTTCTATCTAGATCCCTACCTCTACCCCTGTGCGTTCTAATTACATTTATCTTATTGTGTTTTCTTTATCTTCATTTTTGTCTTTATACTTTTTCGATAATAAAATCGATAGTAACATCCAATGAGATATCGATAGCAAAACCGATAAATATATCATTAACAAAATCGATGAAAAATTCGATAAAAATTTCGATAGCAAAATCTATTAGAAACCCGATAAAAATATCCATAACAAAATCGACGAAAACATCCATAACAAAATCGTTAAAAATATCGATAACAAAATCGATCAAAATATCCATAACAAAATCGATAAATAACGATAAAAATATCGATAAACATCGATAGCAAAATCGATAAATAATAATAATAATAATAGATTGGCGCTTACACATATGTATGTTAGTGCTTGGCCGAGCTTCTCCTCCGACTTGTGGCGTGCGCCTTGATGTTGTCACACAAAGCGGAAGGACCTACAGTTTTACGCCGACTCCGAACGGCGATTGTATTTTTATGAGAATCTGTTCTTCATGGCAGAAATACACTCGGAGGTTTGCCATTGCCTGCCGAGAGACGACCGCTGTTAAGAAAAAAACCTGTTTCTATAGAGTTTGAACCCAGGCGTAGCGGAGTGGAAGCGCGCACTGCATACCACTACACCACAGCGGTCGATAAATATCGATAACAAAATAGATAAATACCGATTTAAAAATCGATAAATATCGATAACAAAATAATTTCATTTACCAGATTCGGAAACAGTTGAAAAAGTTTATTACCATCCATTAGACACTAATGATTAGAGTAAAACAAGCTTTGAAAACATAAGCATTACTTACGTATCGAGAAAAAACTAGTTCCTCTAGATGTACACTCACATTTATGTATTTTGTGCACGAAGTAGTTAATTTTATTGATGGGTAATCTACGAAATATTATTTCGGTTATACTTATATTTACTTATATACCACTTCAAAAGATTACTACTTCAATCAGTTACTGTT